ATGATGATTTGTGGACAATCCTAGGCTATGCAGCTCCCCTACCACTCATTTGTGGTTTCATGTTTTAGCTGTCTTTTTAGGACAAATAAATGTTGTTCTTAAAAAAAAGAAAAAATGTTTTTAAAAAATTAAAAGTATGCCTTGACTTGACTTCACGCTTTCACCTTATGAAGATTTTGGGACTCGTTTCATTAGTTGTAATTGTGTGATACCAATCTCAGTTTGCTTGTCTGGTATTTTGCCTTAATGTGAATAGTCAGAGAGATAATTAGGTGGAGCAAACAGAAATGAAGCAATGGCCTTAAATAAGACACTTCTAGGAAAATAAATTCCAGAAAGCTACAGAATAATTGCTCTTTTAGTTGAAAAATGCTACTTTACAGGCATAAGGCAATTTGCAGGTCAAGTTTCTCAGCAGATATTAAAAAAAATTCGAAGCAATTTACAAAAATCTCCACAGTCTGGAGGAAGATTAGTTATAAAGAGATTCATTACGAGGCTGGTGTTTGGGAACAGAAGAGGGACTGAAACAGAAGCCTTGTGGCAGAGACCCATGTCATGCTTTGAAGGCAACCAATATGCTTCTCTTCTGAGCCAGGGAGGAAGTTTTTCTTCCTTTAATCATTTGCTTGCTGCAAATCTTTAGATTAATAGCACACTGTTTTGTTTTGAATGATTTCTTTTCCATCACTTTAATCTGCTGTGAGCCCCAGGCTTCCAGAGGAAGTTTGCTGAGGTCACTGAGTGTGGCTGGACCTGCAGGGAGGGCAGGGAAAGCAGGCAGCCTCCAGAGCCAGCCTGTCAGTGTGAGGATGGCACTCCCCCACCCTTGAAAAGCACCTGCTGGGAGTGCAGTTGAAGGAGATGTGGCAGCGCTGAAGGCTCAGGGCCCACGTTGACTCTGGCACTTTGCGGATCACAAATTCTGCCCGTGTTTTAACAGTTTCTCACTGACAGTAATGCTGAATCCTCGTAGCTTCACTTTTGGAGAAGGTAAGTGCCTTTTGTCAAACCTAACTGATTTCCTGAACAGAGGTGCTCCCTCTCACATGCCCAGGAGACATAGTTGTACATCAATGCTGTTACGGTGGTAAAAATAGCTGGTAAAGTGCTGTGGGCTAGGACAGACTAATGAAATGTAAGGAGGCTTATTTTGTTACAGAGTAAGAGAGTTGTTACCATGTGCTTTGGTACCAATATCCAAGCAAGATTTTTTCTGTGGAAATTCAGTAGCTCCTCGGGGAATATGTATTTGATGGTGATGTGAAAATGTGTGCTTGTTTTGCTAAGGCAGCATCCTCAAAGTGCAAAGGAACTTTGAAAGAATGCTCCAAGTCAGCATCCAGCAAGTGCCTTAACTGCAGTAGAACTTAACAAATTTTTGTCTATCGAATCTCTAGTCCTTTGAACAAGAACTGCTGTGACATTTGCTGCTGTAGCAGAAGTAAAAGGTCCAAGTTCTGAGCAAAATTTTCAGAGTTACCCTAGAGACTTACTAGTCCATGTTCAGTATTCAGTCTTTTGGACTTCCAAGACAGCACTGAAGTGATTGTTAAAAAACACTTTGCGGAATTACTGCAGAGTTTCTATTCTGTTGTGTCAATGGTGATATTGCAATACAGTAGGAACAAATGTGCTGGTAAAATGCATTTTGCCGGTATCTTTTGAAATGTTTTAAACAAAAGTGCCTCAGCTGTCCTTTTTGTGCTGAAGTGGACTTCAAAACAGCTAGTGTGCTTGTTGATGCTTGTTAAAAGCATCTTCTTCACAAAGTACTGCTGTGACCATTAATCTATTGAACAACTTCTTTAAGTCACAAGTGCAAACTGGTCTTTACAGGGCTACACATAAGATGTTAAAGCATGATCATATTTTACCTAAGGGTCAATTTAAAATATGCTCAATAGAAAGTCATAAATGTGCATACCTAGCACATACATTATGAGATGGCAATTCAGTTCATGTAACTCAGGTGGTTAATCTCCAACAACCATCTTTAAACAAACAAAGCAACCAAAAACCAAGCCACAAAAAACCCACAAACAAACAACAAACAAACAAAAAAGCACAACCCCCAGGAAGATATAGTGTGAAAGCAATTAAAATATTTTAATATATGAAATTGTTTAAGGGGAGGCCTTACAATGGTTTCATGTTTAACAGCTTTAGGTTTCAGACTAAAAGAATGTTAATCAGTAGTGTCAGTTAATTCTGTTTTACCAAATGGATGTCCTTCATCCTTACATAGTGTTATATTCTCTCAGTGCATGGTCTGTTTTATTCTCAGGGTGGGTGAAACGAGTCATGGATTGTCTGTAGCTTTCAAGAGAAGTTTTCTGGCCAAATGCAACACAAAACAGTTACCTTGCTGTTTGCTATCATGCTGCTCAAGTCGAATTTGTAGAGTGTATGTGCTTCTGATGTGATTCCTCCGTTGTTAAAACACAGCAGTCAAGTTACAAATATTGTGAGGTTGTGCAATATTTTCAATTCTGAAATGAAATTAGTTATGATATTATTATATAAGATACTAACATGTTTATAATAATATAGAGAATAATTCAGCATTATCCATACTACTGGATAAGCAAAGCAACATCTTGAAAGAGTCTTATTCAATAGACTGCCACCCTACACAGTCTGTTCTAGTCTGAGCCTACTTTTACATGTTGCCTCTGAGCTGCAAAGTGCCTTTCTCAATACTAGGTGCAAATTCAAGATTTCACACCTCTTTTTCTAACTGGTCCACAATGAAAAATGAAGTGATATTAGCAGGTAGGCTGAGTTCTCTGAAAATAAATAGGAACCTGCTAATTAAATCTATTAAGCATAATTGCATTTGATTCTTCTACCTCTGTACAGTTTTGCCAACAAACCAAATCGAGTAATTCCCCCAGCCAGAGCCATCATTCTTCTTCTGCCCAGAAAGATGCTCAGACTGAACCATTGCTGCTTTGACATATAAAAAAAAAAAAGGCTGGTGGAGCTTTACTGTGATTACCTGCAACCTTCAAGCTTCTGTGAAAGGCTGAGGGGACTGAGCTAATAAAAACAGCTCAGCCCTGAGGGTTTGCAGGTACACCCCTCTCTTTTGCACGAGCAACCTTGAGCTATAGCATGAACTTCTTAGAGTTACAGCCAAGCCTGCTCATTTGTTTCCAGTGACTGATGTGTATCATTAAGAAAAAAAAAAAAATTGAAACTCCCTTTATTTTCTTCTACTGTGTTTTCTGTGGTGACAATGGGCTGAAATAACAAATTCCTTCCTATAAATTAAAAATGAATATGAATTACAATTTCCCTCTCTGTTTTCTAGTAGTAATTCCAGGTAAGAGATAAACGAGCTGCAACAAAATGTTAATCTTGAGTAGAGTTAATGTGTCCTAACAATCCCCTTTAAAGATCATCTTGCTATATCAGTATCTCAGTCTCTCTAAAAAAAAAAAAAATCTGAATAGATCATAAATGGGTCTAAAGTAGTTGCTGTTGATCTGTCTAGAAAGTGGATTCTAAATGTTTATTGCTCTTTCAAGGCATCAGTTTTGTTAGCAGGAATGTTAATAACCTGAATTGTGGATGGAGTCAGTTGTGGTGTGATCTTGTTAGTCTTTATTTACGTAGTTCTTACAGTTTACTTCAATCCCATATAACCAACATTCTGGAAATGTGCTCTGCTAGGTCCTTTTATTACCCTGCTCTTCTCCTGTAAGGCATGACTGAACTCTTCAACTTTTCTCTGTTCAACCTCTTAAAACCTCCACTCACCTCAGTTCAGCCAGCTCAGACTTGTTACCATTTCTGTGGGGTGAAATAAACAAAACTTCATTAAGGGGGGGCAAAACTTTGGATTAGTCTAAACCATTAATGGCAACTTCATTAACTTTGATGCAACTCTGTCAGTTTACATCTGCTGCTGATCTGCCCTGGCAGTGTTACAGGAGGGTAAACAGGGGATTTAGTCTTGCCCAGAAACACCACCGTTTGTTTTCACTGTATTCAATCCTTGCATTGACTGCTTTCAGCATTCAAATATTTTTCCTTACATGAGGCTCCGAAATCCCTCCTCAGTCCTGGTTTGTTCTGTTTTTCTTCATTCCTATTTTATCAGAATTTTCACACACATAGGAACACACACATGTAAAACAAGTTACAACATCAACAATGAACATATATCAGCAGATAGTATCAGCAACTTCTGGGAACAAAAAATATTCCCCAATACACACAGCATAATTTCCAGCTTCCCTTTTGTTACAGACAAATAGATGGCAGAGGCATTAATCTGGTGCTTCTGTCCACTCTCATCTGTTGATACTACTGAGTTATCAAAGACTTACACGCAAAGTATGATGTTTCCATGTCACCTTTCTCATTGTCCTTCCAAGAAAATGGTCTGATTTTAGCAAAATAAATTCTTTTGTGAATAGCAAACAGGGAATCATGGCATAGTCCTATGTTACATTCCTGGGCTTGTATGTAACCTGTTAATCTTCAATAATCACCTACATCTAGCAAGTTCACCTTCCTTTTCCTTCTTTTTCTTCCTTCTAGAGAAACCTCCCATAAATCAGTGTAGTCAAACGGAGCAGAAAGAATTTGTATGATGTAATAATCTCATGCCTTTGGTCTTAAGTGTAACCACTGAGGCCTTTGAGGCCCCTCCTATGAGGGTGCATCTCTTGCTCTTTGAAGCAAGAGGTTAATGACCTTAGGAAACAGCAGTGAAAAGGCATAGGATGAGACAAGTATCAGTTGTGTTTGCATATTTCCTCTTAAATACTTCACCAACATTTACTTGTTGATAACAATGAACAGTTAATTGCTAATTTAAAACAACTTTTAAAGCGTTGTGTTGCTTCCTGCATGAAAGAAAATCATTTAAAAGCCACTATGGGGTCAGCCTACTGCTATCCAGCATATTTATCTTTGCCAGTGGGTTTTGGGTAAAAATGCTGCTTTTGTGTAGAGGCCACAAATCTTGTTTGTGCTTCCTGTTGCAGAATGTTTATTACACAAGCAGTCAGCAGCTCCACGTGGGTGTTCTGAGTCCCACTATCGACGATGATGACAACAGATGCCTGGTGGATGTGAACAGCAGGCCCAGGCTCATCGAATGCAATTATGCCAAAGCCAAGAGAATGAAGCTTTACTGGCAATTTACTCAGGTAATTGTTACTCAGCAGACATTTCAGAAAGTTTAAAAGCTGTTTTTGTATCTGAAGTGTGAGTAATCTGTTTACTAACAGAACAGAACCAGATTTATCCTTGCTTTCTTTCACAGAGCCAGGAAGCTGTTGTTTAGATTTGCTTCCAATGTCAGCTACCACAGGAGGGTACAAAACTTGTATTATATTTTCTAAGTTCGCCATAAATAATTTGTTTACTGTTATGGAATTATCTCAGTCCAAAAAAAAAAAAAAAAGAAAAGCAAGCAAAAAAACCAACCAACCAAAAACCTGGAGCAAGGAATAGAAGTGTTTTTGTTTGTTTAGAAGTAGCAACTCGAAAAAGGAAGTAGCGGGTCATTAGTGGTAACAGCCTCATAATGAGCTACTTTTGCAGTTCCTTTCTTAAAAAGGCTAATCTTTTTGTATGTGGGGGAGTGTGAGAGAGAGAAAGAAAGAAGTGCAAGTAAAAGCTGAGAACCGAGTTTGCAGTGATAAGAATTCTGATAGAACACCGAGCCCAAGCCTGGTGTCCACACTTCCTAGCGGATTTAGAAACATGAGGAAGAACCATAAAGAAGCCATAAAAGTTCTGGGGCTGAAAAACATGCTCTGCACTGTGATGCTTATGGAACTCACTGTTTGGTTTAGCTAAGAGGAAGTGGCAAGGTCACTCAGAGCATATCAGTGTTTCCACAGAGGGACACAGATTATCCTGAAGGCAAAACAGGTTCCAGTGCCTGGAAGCTAAAGATAGTCAAAGTTGGTTTTTCAAAGGAAGATGAGATTTTCCTAAGGTAACTTTAGGACCATGGAAGTATGCCATGTCAGGTACTGACAGGCTGGTTGCTTTGGATCAATAAAATGAAATTACATTACTTTCTAAAACAAGTGCATGACTTAGCTTTGGGGGAAATGTCATCACGAGTGTGAGTTTGCCTGCTCTCATGGTTGTTCCTCTGTGGATTTGAATCTACAAATCTAGTCGTGTACTCCAGCCCACAGGCTGACGCTTACCACTGAAGTAATTTTATTCCTGCATTTAATTTTTTCTGTAACATCCATGTGAGTGTGCAGATATCTTTTCTGTCAACTCATTCATTTATTTTTCTATGACATGTCCACATATTTTAGGACCTTGCTAATATGGTTTAGCACCAGTCTTGGTGCAGAGAGCATCTGGACACTAATCACCAAAGCATACTATTAACATAATTTGTATTTATACCTGAAAGCAATCCAGATATTTGTCCTTGAGGGGAATGAAAGTGAAAGCTGGGATGGCTCTCCAGGTTAGAGATTTAAGGTCTACCACTTGAGAGTTACTGTTGAAAGACAAAGTTTTAATTATGCCTTCCAACAAATTTTAACACTAGTCTTATCATGAGGAAGACCTCACATCTCTGCACTTGATTTTTTTACCTCGATTTTTTACTAAAAAGTATGATTACATATTTCTTTATAGAGCATTTCAGTAACATTATAGTATTGTCCACCTATTCAGTGATTGCTCTGTATAACCCCAACTCTTTGGAGATAATTAATGGTTTCTACTCCAGGATACTGCTGCTTAGACCTGATTATCTTGATTCTCATTTGAGGGGCAGCAGTAGAATGCCTTGATAATTTAGCCATTAAAAGCTTCCAAAATGGTATTTAACTGCATTAGGTTTGTTTCAATTCCATGTTCCAAACACAGTCTTTCAATGAAGTTGCAGTGCTGTTAAACTCTATGTTCCTTCTACAAAGGAACTTCTGCCCAGGAGAAGAGAAAGCTAATTAGTTGTTTCTTTAGGATAAATTAAGAGACAAATAAAATAATTAAAAGCTTTCTGTTCAAAAAGGATTTAGTTAATACCCAATGCAATTGAAATGTCATTATTGCTCAACATACAGCAGGATACACAGCCCTGGGTACGTTCTGTAAGCTACAAGAAAACTAATGAATGTAATCAAGGCTTGCCATGATCAACTGATCAACTCCCTTTGAAATGCTCCCATTTAGTCTGGTGAAAAGATGTGTTTATGTGAATATGCTAGAAGCTGTCTCTCTGAAAAGAGTCTCTTTTTATTACTTTTTTAAAGCTCTAGTGTTTCTTTTCCATATTGTGCAGTGAGCAGAACGACTGCAAGTGAGCAGGATGCTTATGTAGTCTTGAAATTTGTGAGGTATTAATTGTAGATTCTGGTTGTAGCTTTCTATAGCTTCCTTTGGCTGCAAGTGTGCTTGAATTTCTCTGGATTCTTGAGCCATTCAGCAAGACTGTCTGATGCTACAGATAATTAAAAATACAGCAGTGCAAGTGGAGAACTGTCACAGAAAGGGAATGGGAAAACAAACTGACCACTTAAAGAAGGATAAAGTCATTGAACTAGACTTCCATGACTAGCACAAAAATCAGTATTTTTTCCTGCATTCCATTTATGTTGAATTAATTTGAAGGAGGAAGCAGTCTCACTGTATCACACTATAACCTGAGAGGTACCACAATAGTCTGTGGTAGGACATGGATAGCAGTCTGG